AAATCTGCAACCTGTTGTCAGAGATCAAAGCCCCATGTTCCTCTCCAGGATCTATCACAGTTGAAATTTTACAATACTTGCTTAATGAATTAATTGCCATCTACCTCCTTTAACTATCACCTCTAGGAAGTTGAAATTATGTCTGGTTTTCTCTTCATTGTATTCTCCACCTCTAACACAGTATCTCACACAGTAGAAGCTCAGTAAATAATTGTTTTGAATAAATGCTTTTTACCATATCACTCTCTGCAAATGACCATATTTTACAAATATGCTCACAATAATATTTCTACTCCAATGTGCTATTCTTCCATCAAGAGGTGGTCTCTACTTCATATCCCCTTAAATTTAGACAAGACTTTGTGACTACTCTGATGAACAGAATCAATAGATAGTATAACACAAGACTTCCAAAGCTCTATTAGAAAAAGTATTACAGTTTCCTATCTGTCTTGGGGTTGTGTGCCCTTGGAACCCAGTTGCCATGTTATGAGGAAGCCCAAGCTTCATGGGAAGACCAAGGGTGTCGATCCTGGTAGATAGTTAAACCTAAGGACTCAACCAAATGCCAGCATCCCATGTAGACATGAGTAGACAAACTTCCAAGTGGGTCCAGCCACAGCCATTGAGTCACCACCAGCTTTCAAGTCTTCTAACTGAGATCCCAGACACTGCAGAACACAACAAACTTCTGCTATACCTGCTTAAGATCCCTGACATACAGAATTTGTGAACTTGACAAACGGTTGTTTTATGCTACAGGATTTTAGGATAGTTTCATGCAATGCAAGCACTGCCTCATTTACACTCGTGGTACTCCTTTCAGCCTCTAGGACCCAGGCTCACATCCTTGGCTTGGCCTTTGAGATCCTCCAAGATCTGGTTGTAACCTCTTTTTGCCCAAGTAGCGCCCTCTGGAGGAAACTTCTGCTCCTGCCCTGCTGGTCTAAGTGTTTCTCAGCATCCTCTCTACCTTTGTCCTTTTCTGTCTTCAGTGTTGCCCATAATGAAGCAGCCTCACCAAATTCTCTTCAGCACTCATGACTTGGCTGTCTGCACTCCTTCTCCAAAGCTTCAAGGAGTCTCCCAGAGAAATAGCGTTCTCAATCTGCTTATCTAGAATCTAGAACTTCTATTGTCTAACTCTATAATTTTCTTCCTTCATGTGTGCATGTGTGTGTGTTTGAGCAAGCACGTGTGCGTGTGGGTGAGTGCATGCACAAGAGAGCAAACCTATGGTTTCTTGCATGCTGTGCAAGCACTCTAGCACTGAGCCACATACCCAGGCCCCCTATCTATCATTTTCTAAATGGAAAATCAGGATCTGTGGTTTTTTAAAAAAATTTAAATGATCTATGCTTTATTTTCATGAAAAATGTTATAAAGAAATTAAAGCTGAAACAGCTTTAGTTGTATCCTGAACTAACAGCCTTCACTGCAAAGTACAAGCTTTAAAACTCCACAGAGTAAGTACTGTGATCCCATTTTCCAGATGAGGGAATTTAAGAAAGATTACGCAGACAGCCTACAGTCATACACTCGCTCAGTAATTGGTGGAACTGCAATTCAAATCTGAATCTCCCAAGTAGGGTCTTCCTCACTGACTTATCTGATAATCAAGCACTTACTATCTTGTACTATGTTTTCATATTCCTCGTTTTCTTTTTATAAGTCAATTTTTCACTACAAAAAATAATCTATGCATATAAGAATTAAAAAAATGATAAGGAATGTCAAAAAGGTGATATTGATGTAGGTCTCTCTCCAAATCAAGATTCCATTCATTTCTCTTTTTGGGAAGCAACCATATTTACAGATCTTTTATATGTTTCCAGAAATCCTATGTGCACATATAAGCATCCCTTTACTATACAAATGGAGCATACTATTTACAAAAATTTTTCTTTGCATGAATATCTCTTGACAAGCGCTCCATGTTGACGTACGTAAAGTTCTCTGTATTCTTCCTCTTGGCCGTGTAATAGTCCATGGCAACACTGTATCGAAGCTTACTTAAGAAGCTTTTGGCTTAAAGAGCTTGTTGTATCCAGAAGCTAGAGAAAGACAGAAAAGAGGGGACTGAATGGAAAACTACTGTAAAATGAGAAGGGACAAGGTGAGAGGAGCAAGGCTGAAGAAGGAAGTGCCTGATTCCCAGGTATACTGCAAAGAAAGAGAAACCTGCCTGAGGAAGTGAAAACAGAGGAGGTTCTGAATACACTGTACAAAACTGGGGCCATGCAGTAGGGGGAGAGAGCCACCGAGCCATGGCTGGGGGCGGGATGAAAATTTGCTTCTAACCTCTTTCCCGATGACTTCATCATCACCCCTTATGCTCTCTCCTCTTTTGCCAACCCCACCATTGAAAAAGAAGTACCTCACCCAAAAGAAAACAAACATGTTACTATTTATTCATGCAGGGAGGCCCACTGGACACAATAGACAGCAGCACCAGCCTCATTAACTGAAATGGGGTAGGTGTAATTTAAACCGCCTCAGGAAAATATAATCTGCCACCCAAAAAATATTCCCACCGTTTAGACCGCAGGGAAATCAGACCAGCCTCCCTCCCAGGTTCCCAAGCTGGGACTCAGGGCAGCAAGACAAGAGAAGGTCAGTTTCCCGCCAGCAGTCTCCTCCCTCCCCTCCCAGCTCTGTGCACCCCCTGGGCCCCCCACACCCCTCTGAGCTTGTTAACTGACATATCAGAGCTGCTCCCTTTGTAGGCTGAATTGTTTAGCTAATTCGCCCATGGAAAATGGTTTGGTTCAGATTCCAAGCCGAGGCAACCAGACACCCACTGCAAATCCCAGCATGGGGATTGTATCTCTTTCGCCACCTCCAGACACATAAACTGCATCCCTCCTCCCCACTTAGCTTTCGTCTAAGCCCAGAAAGGAGTTCCGGGATGTTCCAAGTTGAACCCTCCAAAGCTAAGAGATAGGGAAGGGCACTGGCCTCTCCCTTTAAACATGAACCCTGAGAGTCACAGGTGAGCACAATAGAAGAATGCTCTGTAGCTACCTTTGCCTAACCTGGGCCAAAGGACACATCTGCCCAGATTCTGTAGATTTCCCTTGCCACAACCAACGGGCTCTGAATTACACCCACCCTAGTTCACATCTCCACTGTGCACTAGTTTTGCAAGTTTGGGTAAACTGCTTAATCAATTTTTGCCTTCATCTCCTAATCTATAAAATGGAAGAAATGATCCCTTCTACAAAAGAGAGCACCCACCTGAAGTACTCCGCACCCAGTGGGTGCTCTAGCAGTATGAATTTGTTCCATCCTCTATAGAACATCTTTATCCACTTACTCCAGCCTCAGTCCAGTTCTCCTTTCTAAGACCCAATGTAAAAATGGGTGACTTCCTGCAAGGGGTGATTGGTAGGTACCAGACAGGACCCCCACCTGTTCCAAACTGTCCCCAACAGCCCCGTGCCAACTGTCTGAAACACATCACTTGTGAGTCATTCTTCTAGGGCTTTAAGGATGTGTTAGCTGCAGTGGCTGATGCCTTAGTCCCTCTGGTTTGCAGAAAGGGGCAGGAAACTGAGCTGATCATCAGAAGATTTAGCTCTCCCTTGCTGTGAGGCTGCCAATGGCCCAAGACCTCACAGTCCACCCTCAAGAGCAGACCACACTGTGACCCACATTCTCTCCTTGGCAGGGACAAAGAAGAACCATGGGTTGACATTTCATATGCATCTTTGCGCCCTTCTTCCCAGAAGGGGCTGGTCCCAGGTCCTTGACCTTGCCTGCACACTCCAGTTACCAGCCGTCTCATCACCTCCACACCGCTCTCTGAATCTCTCCACGCTCCCCTTGGGCCTCTTGAGCTGCCCATCAGTCAACACTGTCACTCCTGCTCTGTGCAAATGACTGTACCCAGAGCCGTCCAGGCACTGCAGCCACTCTGGCCAGGGTAGATGGTATCCTGGGAAATGATCTCATGAGCCCTCCCCACTGCAGTATTTTTAGGCACTGCTTCCCTCCTCCTCCCTTCCACACACTCCCAGTGCAGTCCTGAGCTCTCTGGGATCTCTAAAGGTGCTGCCACTCGTAATGTTTTCCAAAAGCTCAAGGGGTAGAAACTCTAATTAGCTCTCAAAACATTTGACCCCTCATCCTCAGGATGGACCCCCTTCATTTCTACCCTGCTTCTTTTCCCAAAAGAAGGACTGACTTTGCTGGCAGACATCTAGGACTTTCCTTTGGCTACCTCGTGGCAAGCAGTCCCACTCCGCGGCTCTGCCCCACCTTTGCGTAGCTGTGCTTGTGGTTTCCTTTGTTGCTAATCTAGATCCAAGTCACGTAGCCTGGAATGCTGGAAGGAGGCCTCCTCCTGTGGAAGGAGAGACCCAGACGCTCTCTGAAGAGCTCAAGTCAGTTACATCCTCAAAGCAGCAGCAGCCATAGTGACCAGGGTGTGAGACTCAGGGTGATGGGAGTTCTCTGTGTGTCACCACCACTGTGCCTGTCTTTTTGAAGTTATCCGGCAGCCCTCATTTCTCTGTATAGTCCTGGGTATTTTTTGGCCCCAAAGATCTTTACCAGCAACTCACAAAGGCGCCCTCAAGCCTCCAAGCAAGCACCTCTCAGCTCTCTGAGAAACGACGCTGAAGCCATTAGACACTGAGCCACCTGCTCCCCTGCACACTCTGCCCCAGCATGTCCAAGTGCCCACAGTAAATTGGGCTCTGAGCAAACCGGCTTTAGTGCACAGCTAGTCACTCAGTGAATGCTAAAATTTAAGAAACCCTCAGAAGCTGGAACAAGGAGGAATACAGAGATGGCTTGGAGGTCAGATGATCCTGTCTTCCTCCCACAACTTCCCCAAATTCCAAGAGCCAGGGAGCAAGGAGAGTATATAGCTTACAAACATGGAGAACTGTGCTAGACAAACAGCAAGCACTCAACAAATACTGTTGCTTCCTCATGGTGATAAATGCTACTGACACCCAAGACAGGCTGGAGTGGAGGGAGGCAGAGCCTCTTACCTGGGCCCTTCACAGTCAGGTAGAACTTGAATCTGTGGAAAGCGAGGGCCAGCCCCTGCTGAGTTCAGGGATCAGCACCAAGCACCACTCAGATTTGTGTGTCTTCCCTGTAATGCTCTCCTTGCCCAGAACAGCCTCTGCCCGCCCTACCCTGCCCACTGCCCACACCCACTGTCACTCTGCAGATCAAAGGCCCCACAGGGAGCAGTCCCCAATGCTAGATCCAAAGGGCTCTCTCGCACCTCTGAGTGCCCTCTCCAAGCACTTTGCCCAGAGCTCCGGGAGGACTCTTATCTCCCAGCCTGTTTGGCAGCCATCAGGAACATAGCTGCTCCCTGCAGCATTTGCAAAGGCAGAGGCACCCTGGCAGGGAGCCAAGGCACAACTGTGGGACAGTGGCCTTGAGACGGTGGCTGCAAGGTGGCAGCTTCAGAGAAGATGCTCCAGAGGACAGATCTGTGCTGCACACATGAGACACTCTTCGGGGTTCTAAAACCTGCTGGGGAGAAGCGAGGGGGACTGGGTAGAGTTTCCAAGATAAATAAGTCAGAGCAGAGAAACGGGTGGCACTGTGTGACCCCATTTTCCCACAGTCTGGTGTACTGGTTGTGTGGATGTGTTTGAGGTTCCCTGCAGAACTATGTGCTGTTTTACAAATTCTGGTTAGGGTCAGGTCAGAGTGAATTTTATCACTTCCAACAGAAATGGTGGGCAAAGCCCAGTCCAAAATAAGAAGCCTTTCCTCTGAGAATGTATAGGACATTGAAATAAAAAAGGCAAACAGAAGCAGGGCATAGTGTCACACACCTGTGACCCCAACATTCCAGGATGCTGAGGCAGGAGGATCACAAGTTCAAGGCCAGGCTGGGCAACTTAGCAAGATCTTGTCTCGAAATAAAAATTGAAATGTGCTAGTAGAAGAATCAAGCTATATCATGCACAGGTACAAATTCTCTATGATGAATGTGATCATTATGTATGTCTTAAATGTACCAATAAAATTAATTTTAAAAAATAAAACAAAATGAGATGGAGTGTAGACCATTGTTAGAGTGCTTGCATAGCATGTGCAAGGCCCTGGGTTCAACCCTCAGTACTAAACGGTGGGGGGCAAACAAAGCTACACACAAATGGCCAAGGCAGGTTACCACACAAGGTGGGCTGCTGAGCTCCCACACCCAGCTGCCTACCTCAAGACTTAGCTCTGCTGCTCACTTCAGGGCTATTGTGTCCCCATGCTTCAGTTTCCCTATCTAAAAACTGAGTGTGATAGTGTCTACCTTATAATACTATTATATTTATTAGATGAATATATGTTTGCATGTGTGTGTAGAATTACAATATGTTTGCATCATTGCTTTTGTCATTATTATTCAGAAAAATTTCCAAAATAAAAAAGCTACAAGTAGAATGAGAATATCAGTGTGAGGCCCAAGAAAGAACTGAGCAGGAAGAGTGAAAAAGAATGACTTATGGAATGTAGGAAAATTCCCAAGATACAATCTTAAGAAAGAACAAGGAGAAACCATTTAAGGAAAATACATAAAATACGAACAGTTAAATACAATATTTCTACAAGGAATATTTGTAAAATTGGCAACAGGAACAATGGAATAGGACAAGCAGAAAGAAAAAGTTTGCTTGTCACAACTGGACCTTTTATATTACATAAAATTTTGCCATATGTACAATTTTTTTTTTTTTAAGAAATAGGAAGCTGGGGATGTAGCTCAGTGGTAGAGTGGTTGCCTAGTATACTCAAAGTCCTGAGTTCAATCACCAGGACCAAAATAAATAAGTAAGTAAACAGGTAGAAGTGTGGATAAATGGGTGGATGGAGGATAGATGGATGGATGGATGGCTAGGTGGATGCTGTAATGGTTGATACATTCTGTCAACTTGAAAAGTTTAGAAGCTTGACTAAGTCACTCAGCAGTTCTACATCTCTGGGTATAGAGGATATATCCTGGGGCGGCTGTTTACTCCGGGATGTTGTAATGCTTGATTCTTAGAAGTTTAAGTGACTCAGCATGGGGCCAAGAGGAGGGCACGGAGATGGTGTCAGTGTTACACTCACCCTAGAACTAGTAGCCTGCTTACAATATAAGGGAGGCAAAGAGGCTTGCTCTCCCCTCCTTTTTGCTCTTGTTGCTTTTGCTGTCTTCCACTGCCTTGAAATGTTGCTCCTCACCATGCCACCTTGCTTAGAGCCAGCTGTTTACATACTGAAACTGCCACAAACTGTGAGCTAAATAAACCTTTCCTCCTTTAACTTTGGGAGTCAGGTGTTCTGGCCCAGCAATGAGAGAAAAGTAACTAAGACAGATACATATATGCAAGCAGCACAAATTGATGGACAGGTAGATGAATAAGCAGATGGATGGATATACAGATGAGTAAGTGGGTGAATGGATAGGTGAATGATGGATGAATGGTGGATGAATGGATGAATGGTAGATGAATGGATGGATGGTGGATGGATGGAGAGCAGATGAGAAACAATCTAACGTAACTGCTTAAATCCATTAGGGTAGTTGATTTTGGTGTGTCACGCCATAGAATGAGAAGGTGCATCAACGTTGATTTTAGCACCAGGAATGGGCAGATATTTCTCTCCGCTTAGAAAATTAAAATAATGTGAATGATCAAAAGTTTACACTGGAAACTGTTAGAAACCATTTATGCAATCAGTCCAACTCCTTCCTCACCCTTCCATATCAGAACATTTATAAAGAGGAAAATGGCAAGGGAAGATGCTCCAGTCACCTGTGAAGATGGAGAAGGTAGGATAGAGGATGGAATGAGGACAAAGTATAGAAAGCAGGCCAAGTACAGAGAGAATATCTTAGAAATTCTCAAGTGCGGGCTCCCTTTAGCTCCATTTCTGGTCATTCCATCATTGTGACAAACATTGGAGTACAAATGTCCCCAGTGAAGCATCTTTCATGGGGCTTAAATCCCAAACTCAGTTCTAAAGGGAAAAAAATCTCAAGTGGTCAAGACAAGCTTTTGATTCCCTCCATGTCAGAGTGCATGGCCTCCCACAGGGGGTCTGTTTTAACCCCAGTGTACGAAGAGATCTCTTTCTTTGATTATCCAGCCAGCAAAGTGGTTGAGCTGTGCTTGGGGGTTGTGGTCTGGACACATCAGAGTCACTCTCCCCTCGGTGAGCTGTTCCACGGAGGGATGTACTTGGGGACAAACAGAGAAGCTACAAGTCGTGGCAGATTGACAGCACACGTTTCACACATGTTACTTTAACTTGCTCACTCTTTCCCTTTTTCAATCACATATATTTGAATCCAGGTTATTTAATGTGGCTCCATTTCCATGAGTGCATATTCCTAACAACTAAAATAAAACTTCCTACAGATGCTGGTGGGGGATCCAGAACTATTCTTTTCCCTGGAAGAAAGAAGTGTAGAAAAGAAGTTGTTATTAGCATTTGCCACATACGTGAGTTTCTCCCCCTGGAGATCAGCACCCAGCAGAGATAACTGATGAGGAAGTGTCTTTTGTTGCTAATTAGACTAAATAAAATAAGCAGATACTGCATTGACCATTTAGACTACAAGAACTTCAAGGAATTGCCCAGAGTTGTCTCAAAGCCAGTAATTTTCATCCAGAAGCCTGGAGGAGAACAGGAGGCATAAACAGATGGAAAGCACAAAAGAAGCATGAACTAAGCACCTACAAAGTGTCAGGCCGGGTCCTGGGATCTGGGCAGAACCACAGAAGAGTGAAAGGCAGGTTCACCAGCTTCAAGGAGCAAACTGTCTAACTGAAGCAGAACAGAGGAGGACAGGAGCTGGCTCCGAACCCAGTGCAGCGACAGAAGTTCCAGGCGGAGGGAGTGAGGGGTCTCCTGGGAGGAGAGCCCAGGGAGTGACGTTTGGTTCAGCTCGACTTGGCTCCTTAACAGCACCTACATCCTGGACACACCGTGGGTGCCTCTGCAAAGCCATTTCTATGCTGAGTAAGGAAACCGGACCCCGAATATCTGCCCTCTGAGCTTCCCTGGTCACAGTTCTCCACTTTGCCTCAGGCCCACATCCCCACCCCCACCCCCGTCCTCCAGCTTGGTCAAAAGTTAGAGCTTAGGTGCCGCTGGCCCTTGTTCTGTTGTCCACCTTGGCGAAAGCTCCTGAGAGCACCTCGCCTAGTGGCCTCTAGGGTTCTCCCTTACTTCAGGCCCCATAGTCCTTGGTCTTGACTCTTACACCCAGCAGGATGGAATGTGAACACCTCCAAGCTGGTCCTCAAGATGGAGAAGAAGCTCAGAGAATGCAGAAGAGCTATAGAGAAATGGCTTTCCAGGTGAGGGGACTCGGACAGCTGGAGAGGGATCATGGTGTTTGGGTGAAGAGCTGGGCTGGATGGCACATGAGGTAGACGGCAGGAACCGTGGGCAGATGGAACTTGAGATCTGAGTGTTGTCTTCACGAAGGTAGTACAACAGCTCTGTCCATCAAAGCTGCTTAAATAAACCACTCATTTTTCTGTGCAAATCTCTCCTCACTCAACTCTGCATGCACATTTCTGCCATATACACCCTCAAAGTTCCCTCAACACTGCTCTCACCAAGTCACCTAGAAACGTCGGGGTCTCCCTGCTTGCAGAGCTCAGCGCCCATCTTGGACGTAGGGCCTTCTCATCGGTGCCCTCTGCCCTACGTATCATTCTCCTGCAGGACTTCCTTTCCAGCCAGTGAAGCTGGTCGATGTCCCCGCTGTGCAAGGCCACTCCTGCCCTCAGTTTTGAGGGTCTTATTCCTGGCAAGACCTCAAGCTGCTGCTCCAAACTCATCCCACGCATTCTGTACGGCCCAGACACAACCCACTCTAGTTAGCTGGGCTATCCCGTGCTGCTCTCTGACCACCACTACCATGCAAGTTGCACTTACCCTCCTTTTTCTTTTTTGGCAACAGCTTTATTGAAATTTAATTCACAGACCGTACAATTTCCCCACATACGAGGCACTTTTCAGTGGTTTTTAGCATATTTGCAGTTGTGCAACCATTATCACAATCAACTTGAGGGCATTCCATCACCCCCCAAAAAGCCCCAAACCATCACCCCCAACTTCTCCATGCCTTCCCAA